TATTCACACCGAGGCACGTTACACAATATAGTTATACGTACAATAATATGTCATTGTTGTTATTTATGCACGTATGGTGGGGCTCTCCTCCATCCTTATGTATTTAGTGATTAAACACCGGCGTTTGTGCTGATTGTACGCTCACGCAACAGATTAGGCATTGTGCATATATTGATAGGTACACTCCTGTACGTCTGTATGTACTTGGTTGCTGTATATAGTATACAGGTAAACTGCGGCCTTTGTGGCTCCACATAAGCAATTGCTTACGACGTTCCGTACCACCTGAGCCGAGTTTACTTACGACTGTGCCAAAATGTACCAGGTGGACGGTATACCAAACACTTTCCTTGTACAATTACTAATAATATAATTATATATAAAGATAACTCGATTAGAGCTATTTGGCACGACAGCCTGTAGCCGTTGTCACCATCATCGCGCACGTCATCGTCTTGCCAATAGCCCAATACCGATTCAACTGATTTGGCTACAATGGAACCAAAAAATTTCGTTTGATCGATGAATGCAAAATGATGATGGTGTTGTCGCTTATTGAACCAAAAAATCTTACTTGATGCAGGCAAAATATCATTTGGGAGTATAATTATATGTGTACCTAATATTGCGTATACATAATCTTCGTGATTCCTGGAGTTTATTAAATTTTCGGAAATTGACGCGAGTCGGGACAAAATACAGCATAGCTTTTAATTACTATTATGAGTCGTGTATACATTAATATGTGAGCACGCCTAGTTGGGCGCGTGTTGATATTCAGAATAATTTTGCTCAATTGGAAGAATATATACACCGCTCGTACATTATTCACAAGCCTTGTAAATTTTTACACTTGAATAATTTATACCGTTAACTTGGGGGGGGGGGGGGAAATTTTGGAAAATTCTCACTGATCCTCGTAGAAAAAGATAATAATGCCGAAAAAAAGGTATAAGTATAGAATGGTAAAAGAGCCGATGGAAAATAGGGATGTGTAAAGCCAGAGAGGGCGAAAAGCTAACTTAAAGAGGCTTTTGTTTGTCGCTTCGGGCACTCGGCCGGAGCACCAGCTGGAACATAATAATATCTGGCGCTCCGCGATGTAAAGACGTACGTTTCCGCGCGCGTAATCTACGCGGGGGGTAGGTAATGATTGCGCCTACTCGTTGATGCCTTCATTAATCAAGCCGTGCGACGCCAGTGCCGCGCGCGGAATCCTATGCTGCCGGTGCCATCAGCCATTGTAATTGGCCCCACCGCGGGATCGGCATAACTCGTGATCTACACGTACACGCTGCGGATACATGTATATATATATACATACAGGTATACGTGCGCTCGCGTACAAACGTCCGTCTCATTGACAATGGGCGCGTTGGTGCATTGCTTTCTCTCGGTCCATGCATGCAGGCTGTTGTGCATATTAGAGCTGGTCCGCGTGCGATTGCATCGAGATATTCGAGGTAGGTATGTATGCGTGTGGACAATCGATCGAGCACATGGCAAGTCCCTCGGGGGGGCCTGTACATATTATATACTGCAGCGCCGATGCCCGTCGGTTTCCCCCTATTGTTTGCCAAACGACGGATAGCTTATACGGCGACGCCGACGAGCGTGAAATTTGAATCTCGTTTGCGTCGTCGGCTTATACGAACTGCAGATGTTTTGTTTTCGAGCCACCCCTCCACTACATCGCGTTGCATGTAATAATTTATGTGCCTATAGACGCGTTACTTGGTTTATCAACGCACGAGCCAAAGTCGCACAGGATGCAGCTGATGGCTTCTGTCAGCGACCCACTCACGCAAAAGTGAACCATTACCGTGTAGGTATGGTGAATCCTGTACTACGGCTACTGATAAACCATGCCCATGTTTGTTCCCATACACGTAAAATCACGTAAGGCGAATCATTAATTCACATCGGCTCAGCGACGTGTCTTGCTTTCGATACCTGCTTTTGGTGGATGGATCAATGTGTGGTAATAATAATATAGTGCGGGCAGTATACATATTGATACAGGTATAGTTGGGGCGCGTGTGTTTACTCGCGCGCGCAGTTGTAACAGCACACAGAGTAAGTAATGGGTGTAATTTAGGCTGCCACCGCGTCGGTCAATGTTATTACAAGTATATACCTACCTACTGCGTGGATCTCGTATCCTCGATCGCGTTACCTATTCGTTGTGGGATACGTGGTACGGTTTTGTACTGCCATCGCTACACTTGGGCGATGTATTTTTCCAACGGCCACGTTTATGGTAGATGCTCGAACTACTATTGGAAATTAATATTAATATACCTGCGCTTCATAAAATACATGTTACATACGTACATGTATGCGAGGGTGATGTCCCTCATTTACCATATTGAAATGTTTTTTAAGCTCTTAGCCGCTATTCTAACCAGTAACAATAGTATTTATCGATTTTTCATGTTTCCACCTCTGTTGGCTGGGCCCTGTCCGTAGTTATACCTACCACTATCAACCCCCCCCCTCCCCTCGGAAGGGAGGGTTTTCTTGTAAGTACTTGGAATGTAACGTCGACCTATAACCTAACCGCTCCAGGGCATCTGAACTTTGGCTCGCAAGACTCGCTTTTGAACTTTGGCTTCAATATCTTATTATCTGTATATATATATAATGTATATAATATATCAGCGGCAT